CAACCTAAAGACAGCAACCAAAACCGGCGCACGAAAGTGCATGGTTAATGGTTCTAAGAACTGGTTTTACACTTTGGTATCTAAAACCCTCTAATGGTTCGCTGAGGAAACCGAAGTACATAGCAGCGAATCGACAGCAGTGACATACTTGTTGTCATTTCTCAGTAGGCCATAGCGCTTGGAAACGTCTGGATGAGCGGTAAGGGTGTGTGGTATGCATTGACCAATAAAGTTCACTTTCATTACCCCCACTTGAAACTGTACCACTACCTAACCACCTTACACGGTGATACGTACTTTACATGAGCTAGAAAGTGATCAGAAGATTGCTTTACCATATTTTTTTGTAAGACCGTGAGTAGTAAATCACTTCGCCTCTTAAAGAGGTTTTGCAATATTCGCATGATAACACTGTGATCTGTCGTCCAAACAGCTCTTATTCTTTAGCATACAACTCATATTACTGATTAATGTCCACCTTGAATAGATCACAAATAATCTGTCGGAAGTTGATGATTATGCTCGACATACCGAACACTTTTTATTATGCGGTACTTATTACGACACTACTTTTATCCACAAATGCAAAACTGTAAACCAAAACGGCTGTTTAATAAATTTCACTTAGTGAGAACAAGGTGGCAAATCAAATTGTCCGTCGATTGTTGTGTGTAAAACAAACGTGTTACGGATAGTTGCAGCGACTCTATGCATCAATCACGTGACATTATTCCATTCTGTCCGTGTGTACAGTATCCCAGCCTGTTGCGAACCTCAGAATTAGAACCCAACATGCAACATCCGGCAAACAAAAATAGATCGATGCGCATCACGTGACTTGAGACGCGAACGAATTCCATACGGATGGCGTCAGAGCTGCAAATTTATACACCTGTGATTTAGTATTGCATAAAATAGAACAAACAGTGACATCGAACGCTCAAAATGTGATTGACTGAATCAGGCATTTATCTTTCCAATATACCAAATCTACTAACCCGAAAGTTAGTAAAGCTAAAAGATTATGAAACTCAACGATGAATGAGTACACTTCTGGGAAAACAAGTCAAATCAAGGGTCGAAAATGTGGAAAGATATCAAGTGTACCACAGACATCGAACTTCATGCATTTCGAGAACATACTTTCACCTGCCATCAGATCAATGCCCCGCCTCAGAACAGAAAAAAACACGTGGTGCCGGAACATTTTATCGAACAGACCACGCTGGTTCATATGGGCCTTAAGCGCAATAAAATATAAATATCCGCTAAACATATAAAAACTCAATTTGCACACCCAAGACGTCAAAAAAACAAAGATTCATCTACTGGAGAGTCGGAATCGTAAACCCTGAATACTTACGTATACGAATCGTACACTGGACGGGAAAAATGAATTCTTTATAACCGTTTCGATCGTTAGTGAAATTCAGACAAAGAAAATCACATATTTTGGACCACGGCAATAACGGTAGTCATGGAGAATGGTTAGACGAGATAAGCAATGAAGTGGACAAATCGTCCGTGAACTTATAAATTGGGCAAAGTTTACCGGGATAGGTTACAATTGTGTGAAACAAAATGCTTATGTAATTTGGTGAAATGATTTTGGGGGGGAGGGGAGCAGTAGTGTTTCTAAACACCTCGAAACGGAAAATGGTCTGGGACGAAAATAAGTAAATTGCTATCTCATAGTTACGTTTCACGACGTACTTTCTAGCATAAGATGGTAATCTGGTAATAGACCGACCATATCGTACGGTTTTGGCAGATTACATTCCAGAGATTTGAGTTAATTCGTACCCACGGGTGTACGACAAAACGGTGGTTCCTCTGCTGTGAAAACGCGGTATCATTTTACCCATTTTTAAAGATGGTTATCGAAGTAATCCGGTGAATGTCATTCCAGTTGCAATTCTTTCTATTCTGCCAAAAGTTATCAAATCATTTGTTGCTGATTTCATGTAGCGATAATTGGAAAAGTAGAACGTTCTCTTACCAGCTCAAAGCGTATTTCACACAGCTCTGAATCCACTTTGTGCCAAACAAATCACAGTCCAATAATCTTTATAAAAAAGCGAAAATTCCTTGATTTGCTTGTGGGCGGAATACCAGGTTACCCAGGCCAAGGTAATTAAACAATTATGTGCCATCAATCTGCTGCTCATACGAGATAGGTGGAGAAAAGTCGAAGAAGGGGATATAGGGACGTGGTCTATTTGAACTTCTGCATAGTTTTTAAAAGACGAAACACCAAATACTGCTGCGAAAGCTCCTCGGTTACAGTGCTCTAGGACTGATCCTTAGTTGAGTTTAGGGATTTCTCCGACGACATCATTCGTCACCGAGAGTTGATGATTCTTCATCAGGACTGATTGACATGGTTCGGGAGGGGGTCAGTAGGGATCTGCACACGGTTCCCACTTTATCGTAGCATTTAAAAATAATCTACTGTATATTCTTGGGAAACAAGCTTCAGTACTTACTGATGATACTAAAAAAAAACTGAAGAGAATTTAGCACTTTAGGAAAGACCTAAACTAGCTAACTGATGATACTTCGACAATGACATCAAACTCAACGTTGCGAAATGCAAGGACGTAACACTGCATCACAGGTGTCACTTTCATCAGTCTTTGGAAATCAACCATTATCACTTGGCACAGATGGGAAGGATTCGTGAGGACTTGGGATGTTTCATACGCAGTGTTCAATCGTTAACAATCACTTCAAAGTAAACTGGATTATTCAAACGTGTTTGGGATTGATTGGAATGAATCTGCTTCTTCGTATCTATCCTCATACATACGTACACACAGCGAGCACGACATCCACGTTTAGGATCCATGGCTAAGTCATGACAAAAAGCGTTCAAACGTCCGCAAAGAATAGTAGTGAAATGAANGTGAAATGAATAAATGACTACAGCCCAAAACCTACGCTCGAAGACTGCAAACCATAAGACTTGGTTTTAAAAATGACATGCTAAACGAGTCTGCTAGATCGTCAAATTTACTCATCTGGTACCACAGTACACACAACCATGTACCCGTGTTATGTTGCTTAAAGAAACATTGGTTCATTCAAGTTACGGCCCGATAAAGCACTGAAACACCTAACGGTCCCACATCTAAGCCTGCAAATGGATACTGATTATCTTACGCGTAGTTTTATCCGAACCCAGAATGTAATCATCCTATCACATTTAATAAGCTTTGTGATTTGCAAATAATAAAACTGAAACCTTAAAAGCGTGCTCTGTCTGGGAAGCAACCACTGAGTTATTTTTGGCAATGCCTAGCTCTAACTTGGCAACATGAGTTGAAATGATAAAGTAATGAGAATCACTGTACAGCGAATAATATATTTTGATTGATGACCGATGTAAACGCACACACACACACACACACACACACACACACACACACACGAATTTACATATACATCAGTGTGTAACAAACGGAATGACGTTTGCCAATAAATCAAACTTCATCACAACCGATGCAGCACATACATTCAATTCCCGAATGTCACAGCAGATTGAGACTCATAAGCCCTTAAACGAGCGCTTTGTTTGTTTGTGTGTGTGTGTGCGTGCGTGCGTGCACACTCGGCTCTCATACAGGAAACCGGATGCCATTGTTATACGTTTCGATCTGCCAGTGGCATCCCTTAGTGTCATTACCGGTTGTCCCATTCTCGCAACATCGATGACAGCAAGGTCAAACGAAACAATGGCAAACTACGAGGGCACCTGAAAGTGCTATTAGATCTGTCTTTTCGTGGTGCAATTTGCCGATACACTTTGTGGCTCAGAAAGTGCAACTGTTCAAACCACAGTAGGCAAGCAGTCCACATTAAGTCAAGCTGTTTTCTTTCCGCTCCTCGTGCACTGCAAACAGTTCAGTTTGTGTAACAATATGTGCATTGATCAAAAGATATCAACACAAAGGTCGCGCGTGATCATTAGATAAAGGGATGGAAAGATAGTATTATGGTGAATTTCCGGAATTCGAAAATTTGAGGTACGTAATATAACAGAACAAAGTAAAGGTGTGCAGAAAAACGGTCAACAACCGAAATTAATTGTCTTCTTACGAGAGAACTCTTGAATAGCAAGCAGCTTTCGTTCACCACTCGGTCGGGTGGGCAGTAAGCGTGGATGAACCTGAGCATTAGATCGATATAAACAGGGACATCTCCATTCGATGAAGACCTCTTGCTGGACTGCGGCAAGATATATTTCTAACCGTTCCAATTCGGAATGGTCAAATCAAAAATCACATTCACATTTGTTGCTTTTCCAAACTCGCTTTCTCATACTTACTTTTGTTTAGCCCGGTGGGCATACTAGCTGTGCGGCGTTTCATCAACGATCGATCGAAATGTGGATGTGGTCGATTTATATTCATTGTGCGATACTGGAAAAAGGTACGTCCGGTATACGCGTATGTTGGATTTAACGGATTTGGTGGTCCTTTCGGTGCACGTGCTTCTTTCAGGCGGAAAAACGCATGGTGCTCTACTGCGGCTTTCCAAAGCCGATTAGCCATATAGTGATTGAGTAGGCGGAATCCTATTATGGCTTCAACGGGTTCCGTCTGAAAATGGACAAAACAAGAGTAAACCAGTGTGAAAATTGGATTGTAGCAGGTATAGACGTAACATAACAGTAGGCGGGATAATAACAACTAGTTTCCACTTCTTATTTGGCATATTGAATATTGCAAGAAACTTTCAGGAGAATGCATTCAATCAAAGGCTATCCTGAAACATACAGAAAACGGGGAAGGATGGACGACGGTACCCGGAATCGCATATCCAACCTTCGGAGTCCTCGCAACGACGGCTTTAATCAATATAAAGATTACAAAGCAAAAGAAATCCGCGCCGTGCATGACGAGCGTAAACCAGAGTAAGCACATTAGTGGAGTTTCAAATTGGTAATCAAAATCATTAAACCTGCGGTACAACCGTTTTCGTCCCCAGTATAAAATCAACGTTGCATACCACATGAGCTTATAACGATTTATTGTGATATCTCGCTTACTTTAACTTCGTGCGTAACACGGATTGTTCCTATCGAGCATCATCTTCTGTCATAAGAAACGGCGCCACCTCACATAGAAACCGCCTACCTCTTCACAACGGTGGACCATATCGCCATCAGCTACCGCTATCGATGGTTCACCCAAGCAGCCGTTCTCCCTAATCGACATGGACAATGCTTTGTTAGGAGCATCATTCTCCCTACGTCTGATAAACAATCACCACAATCGTTGAAAACAGATAGCCGCAATGCAATCCAAGCAATAGTTGCAAATCGGTATTCGAATTGGGGTTAACTCACCGACTCACAGTTCAACCACCAGCCGAAGGACTCAGTGAACACTTGGCGCCAATCAAAGTTATCCAAATGTCAAT